TTAAATTACCAAGTATGTTTAATATAATGCAGATGTAACAAGACTTATTGGTTTAAATTACAAGTATGTTTTATGTAATGCAGAAGTAACAAGACTTAATGGTTTAAATTACCAAGTATGTTTTATGTAACGCAGATGTAACAAGACTTATTGGTTTAAATTACCAAGTATGTTTAATATAATGCAGATGTAGCAAGACTAACTGCTTTAAATTACAAGTATGTTTTATGTAATGCAGAAGTAACAAGACGTACTGGTTTAAATTACCAAGTATGTTTTATGTAACGTAGATGTAACAAGACTTATTGGTTTAAATTACCAAGTATGTTTAATATAATGCAGATGTAGCAAGACTAACTGCTTTAAATTACAAGTATGTTTTATGTAATGCAGATGTAACAAGACGTACTGGTTTAAATTACCAAGTATGTTTTATGTAATGCAGATGTAACAAAACTTGTTGGTTTAAATTACCAAGTATGTTTAATATAATGTAGATGTAACAAGACTTATTACTTTAAATTACCAAGTATGTTTAATATAATGCAGATGTAACAAGACTTATTGGTTTAAATTACCAAGTATGTTTAATATAATGCAGATGTAACAAGACTTATTGGTTTAAATTACCAAGTATGTTTAATATAATGCAGATGTAACAAGACTTATTGGTTTAAATTACCAAGCATGTCTAATGTAATGCAGATGTAACAATATTTACTGGTTTAAACTACAAAGTATGTTTAAAGTAATGGAACAAAAAAATGTTCCACTGCTCTGAGCATCCTCTTAAGAAAAAAAAAAAAAAAAGGACCTAGATGTATATATATATTCCGAAACTCTAGGAGTTTATTAACAAGCAGCAAATTGGTCAACAAAGATTACTTGAACATTTTGTTAGGCTATGCACCCAGTTGAGAATTTAAACAGATTTTTCACCACAGTGAAACTAATGTTTTATGAAATTGATATTTGAAACTGTTGGTACTTGGTCGAACTCCATAATTACAGAATTGAAGAGAAAAAGCAATTGTACGTTTCACAAAACTTCATTTATTCACAACCATGATTTCCCATTTTTTATTTTTCAATTCTGTAACGATATTTTATCAGACTCTTGGTTTTACTTATTACTTATAGGCTTTTAAACTTTGCAAGATAAAACTTTTATATTACAGAATATATTATTTTAAATTCATTTTCCTTTTATTGCGGTTGCCTTAGGGCTACACTGTTGATACTGATTAATCATAAATACTAGATTACTTCACAGTAACAGTCTATTCATTAATGTAAAAAAATACTGAAAATTCAGTTACATTTTCATGCAGCTCAAAAAAAGTTAATACATACTGTACCATCATCGTAAAAACAACACATTACAGTGGCTAGCATGGAGACATTAAAAAAGTGTTATTAACATGAAAATACTGTATTATCAGAATATATGTTCTAGTTTTGGACCTGGTGGCTATGGCACTCAACTTGCAATCTATGGTATTCAAACTCTGCAAGATAAAGTTATAATTATCAAAATTTTTATTTTACTAATTATATTCATGCTATTCAAAATACTAGGTTATAATTTTGGCTAAGTATGCATTTACCTATTAAATAAAATCAGTTATTATTATTATTCATTTCCTTTGGTTGGTTTCAAAGCATTTTAATACCTGTGTAGTTATAAATTGAACACTTAAGGCTTTAACATTGTTGTTATTAACATGCTTATGAACATTAAAACAATACTGAATTGTCCCAAATAATACCTCTTGAAAAGTGTGCACAGTATTGTTGCAAGAGGCAGTTAAGTGAATAACTCTTTCATTGTGTTATAACATCATATTTTGACTTGTACTACTAGTTTAAGTCCTAAAACTCTCTTCATAAGATACAAAAAAAAAAGTAGTAAACAGTTATTAACATACAATGAATTGCATGATTTTATATGATAATGATAATAAACTATATGCTTGAATGATTATTTGCCAACAGATACCCACATCTTAGAGAACAAGTAATATTAGATTGGTTTCTCATGCTGTTAATTTGAACTTTTCAACATAAAAGGCTCATATAAAAAAATTATCTCTATAGGTGTGGGGGATAAGTTAGCTATTGGATAGAAGAGTGGATGGATGGATGGATGGAGAAAAGCAGAGGGTTTTTATAAATGGAGTTCACTCAAACTGGATTAATGTCACAAAGAGGTACATCAGGGCTCAGTCTTAGGACCTTTGCTCCTTTTGATTTACATCAATGACATAGAAAAAGGGATAGTCAATAAATTATTTAAAATTGCTGATAATATTAAGGTCTTCAGTGTTGCTAGCTGTGAAGAGGATGCTTCTGCTTTACAAAAGGATTTAGATCATCTAGTAGGTTGGGCAACTAAATGGCAGATATGTTTTAATTATAATTAATGTAAGATAATGCATGTGGTTTATCATAATTTGAATTATAAGTATAATTTGGATGGGAATATCCTTAACAGTGCCATGAAAGAAAGGAATCTCATAGATAGGTTTTAATTATAATAAATGTAAGATAATGCATGTGGGTTATCATAATTTGAATTATAAGTATAATTCAGATAGGAATAACCTTAACAGTGCCATTAAAGAAAGGAATCTCAGTGTAATGGTTGATCAGTTTATTAAGCCATCCAAACAGTGATGTTGCTAGTGGTAGGGTAAATAGGATTTTAGGTTGTATCTAGAAAAGTTATGAATACAAGTCTAAAGAGGTCATCATTTCATTGTATAGGTCACTGGTTAGGCCACATTTGGAGTATTGTGTTCAGTCTTGAGCTCCTTGCCTTAAGGACACTGAATTGCTGGAAAGAATTAAGAGGGTTACTAGAATGGTGCCTGGGATGGAGGGGTTATCAAATAAGATTGGACTAAAGAGTTGAGAGGGGATCTAGAACAGATGTGGAAAGCATTTAGGGTAAATTTGATATGCATACAGAACATACATATTCCATACAGAAAAAAAGGGCAATGGAGTGGAATAAGCCAGTATGGTTTAGTAAAGGTTTAAGATATCATACTTGAGATAAACATAATAAATTCATGAAATTTAAACTTACTGGAAATAATAACTTAAAGAAATATAAGAAATCAAGAGAGCTGGTTAAAAAGGAAGTTAAAATGGCAAAAACTGTACATGAAAGAAGGTTGGCTGAGAGAGTTAAATCAAACAATAAGGAATGCTTTAGGTATATGATGGGTAAGCAAAATGTTAGGGTGGAGATTGGGCCTCTTAAAAATGATAATGGGGAGCTGATCTCACAAGATTGTGAGATGGTAAACTTATTAAATTATATGTTTTTCTCAGTTTTTATAAAGGAAGATACAAGTATCATGCCTCAACCACAGCACTTAATGTATGGGGAAAATATTGATGTAAAAGAAATCAGTTTAAGTTCTGAAATTTTAAGCAAAAAGTTGGGAAACCTAAAAATTGATAAATCCCCTGGACCAGACAACTTTTATCCTAGAGTTTTAAAGGAATTTATTTATTTGCAAACAGCTGGCTAACATTTTTTTTTACAGATCACTGAGTAGTGGAAGTGAATTACAAGATTGGAAGTTGGCTAATGTTAGTCCAATATTTAAAGGAGGTGATAAACATTGTCCAAGCAATTATAGGCCAGTTAGTCTTACATCAGTAGTTGGAAAGGTTTTAGAGAATGGGATTAAAGATGCATTGCAGAGTCACTTAAAGCAGTTTAATATAGTGTCAAAGAGCCAGCATGGTTTCACTAAGGGAAAGTCTTGTTTAACAAATCTTGTAACATTCTTTGAGGATGTTACTGCAAGAGTTGATGAAGGAAATACTGTGGATTTGGTTTATCTTGATTTACAGATATAATTTGATAAGGTGCCTCACAAAAGACTTGTAACAAAAATTAAATCTGTGGGTGTGGGGGGAATGTTATTAAATTGGATAGAAAATTGGCTGCAGAGTAGAAAGCATCTCGGTGCTACTATAGCGTGAGGTCTACCGCCATATGTCGCCTACCCAGGTCTATCAAACATGTATAAAAATGTATCA